TTGTATCTCCTACTTCATCTGTGGACACGTGAGCGCCTCTACAAAGCAAGGAAGATCAACCTGTCAGATAAAAAAAAAAAAAAAGACAAATATGGGTTTTTCGTTTGAATGTTTTAGAAATATTCTATAGTTACTATGTGGAGGAGCTTCCTGTCCGCTGCTAAGTAGTTCCTGGAACAGTCAGGTGGCTTCGGAGGTACTGTGATGCTACATTGATGACATTAACCACTGATGAATATGTCACTCGCTATCTTTTAAAGCACTTATTTTAGTTACAACCATCTCTTGATTTACCTGAAGCTGTGCATGGAAGTCTGATGGCTGTAATTCTTTCACCTTGCAGAGTTTTTGTGAGAACATAAGACCAAGTGCTGAAGATTGAGGTGACTGTCGACGTCTTCCGAATTTGCCAGGATGCCTATTCCTCCTCCGCCTGGACCTCCACCCCCCCCCACCTTTAACCAGGTCAGTGTACAGCAAGGAGCAGGTAGCATGTGTCTCGTCTCACTGCAGCGATTTATCCTCTTGTTGTTTCCTTAATTCATGTTACCTTTTTTCAACTCCCTTTTTTATTTTTTGTCAATGATAAATAAAAAGAAAAGAAAATTGTTTAAAAACTCTAGATTAAAGCACATGTGCCAAGATCTTAAAAACTTTTCATGTTTTTATGTTTATATATTTTTATGAAATTATATTGCTGAATTATTAATTTAGGAGTGTCATTAGGTTTAATTAAGAAATATCATTACGTTTTATATATTTTTTAAGTTTTTTTTTTTTTTTACCAAAAACATCAATTATTAATTTAGAAATATAATTTTTTAGTTTGTTTCCTAAAATATAATTTATATGATATTTTACAAAAAATTCAAATAATCTTATAGTTTAAGAGACAGAGCCATGAGGGTCTGCAGAGGTCCTCTCTATCATATAATTGTGTGTAATAAATGTTTTTTTCCCCCTGCATGTTGGTTTCACCACATGACTTTCATTTGCTGGACTTTTTAAAATATTAATAAGCAGTAAAGCATTTGTTACTTTTTTCAATACATAATAATAAAAGATTATGCATTCTTGAAAAAAAAAAATAAGATTAATGATTAAAGGGGTCATATGATGCGATTTCAAGTTTTCCTTTCTCTTTGGAGTGTTACAAGCTGTTCGTGAATAGATAAGATCCCTGAAGTTGCAAAGACTAAAGTCTCAAAACCAAAGAGATATTCTTTATCAAAGTTAAGACTCTGCCACACCCCTCTAAAATGGCTCGTTCTAACACGCCCCCACATATCTAGGTCACTATGTGGGAATATTTGCATAATGTGGCCCAAATGTTCACGCAAAGAAAGAAGGCGTGGTTTCAGTAACCGCAGTTAGTGTTGAAGCAGCATGTCAGGGAGACGCTGTGTGTTTCTAGGCGAAAGCAAAAGCACTTTATTTGGCCTTCCGAAAGTAGATGCATTTAGGAATCTTTAAGATTACTTACAACAGAACAGCAATGCATTTTATGGACGACCGTTTCATGAACCTAGGAGAGGAGGT